CGGAGCCATTAGATCAAAACAAAAATCTTGCCAAAGAAAGTATTTACAGGCTCCTCATGGCGCCTAGAACAGAAGACAGGAGATGTTGCAATAAGGTGCAGTGGCATTGCAGTGACTCAGCTCACACCCAGGGCTGGGAGTGTGCAGGAGACTCAGCAGGAACATGGGAGAAACCCAGAAAAAGACAGGATCAGGCAGCAGGGACAGCAGGGATTAGGCAGTGGGGAAGCACTTGCCTGGGGGATGTCCCTGTCTGACCTCTCACATGAGCCCTTGGAAGGAAGAACCAGCCCCTGTGCCAAACTTGTCAACCCTGCTCCTACTGCTGGCACCTGTGACCCTGAGATCACAGCTCAAGGTGTTCTCCGCCACCTTTCCTTGTTGGCTGTTGTCACCCCCATTTCCCATGGTGTTATTCCCAAGGGGCAGCCAGAGGGGCCATCCTGTCAGCAGCAGTGGGGAGGTCCATCCTGCTGTTTCAGACCATCTGGGTTCAGAAAACCCCAGCCCTGCTCACCCCATACATGGTTTCAGGGCTTAACTTGTGTTAAAAGCGCTGGCTGGCTTATGAAATCATTTTATCTCTGTCCATCAAGGACCTTCCCTTCCCTGTCCAAACAACACCCAAAATGCAGGACAGGTTGGGGGGAGGGTGTGTGTCAGTGAGTGCCCAGGGCAGCCATGCCAGCGTGGGCCTGGCACAGGGTGCTCTGGCTCCTCATCTCTCAGCCAGCAGCCAAATGCTGATGTTGGGAAGAAGAACTTGGTTAAGTAATTCCTCTTTCAGTTCCTCTGCTATCCTCATGGCCCTGCCACCCTGGGCAGTATCCAGGCAGGGATTCACTGCCACTGTCCTTGTGTGACCACATCTGCATTGCTCCTTGCCCTCCATCCCAGCATCCTGCTGCTCCCTGTGTGGGAGGAAGGAGCGTGAGCAGGGCACACACCCCATGATGCCCAGTGACACCTTCCTCCAGAGCAGCTGGTGGCTCAGGGACATGCAGCAAGGGCTTCCCTGGACACATCCCAGGAGTTGTGGTGCAAGGAAAGACACACCGACTTCTGTTGAGAGCGTTTTCCATCTTGTCCTCATTTCTTCCCATCCTTAACTTTGCTGCAGTGCTGCATGGTGCAGCCCTGAGACTGGCACTTTTACCCTGGAGTGTCATTGCCCAGGAGTAAAATGCCAGGATGGTGGTTCCGATTAAAGAGGATGAGTGGATCCAACACTTTCTCTTGGTGCCCCCAGACTTGCCAAGGACCAGATGTCTTGGGCTTCTTTTCCCCAAGGGTGGGGCCCCTATTCCCTTTCACCCCAAGGCATGCCAGCTTGCAGCCCCCCAGTCTTGGCTGCCAGGTTGGAGTCTCTTGGTGTATCGCTTTGCCCTTTAAGTGCTGAGAAGATGCACAGCAAAACAGACTCCCCTCGGAGTGCTCAGACACAGGAAAATCTCCATGGGCTGGGAAGGATGACACAGGAGGAGGCTTTCCAGAATGCCTGCTGCTCTTCCCAATCCCTCTTCTCCTCAAGTGTGATTTCCCTGGCAGTTCTCTGCAGGGAGCTGGCACAGTCTCTATCCACACCAGTCTCCAGCAAAATGTCCCCAGGGTGTCCCTGTGTCCCTGCTGGGGGTTACAGAGCTCCAGGCCCTTGACAGACCCCGGAGCACCACCAGCATGGAGGAGACATGGCTGGGAATTTCAGCAACCATTGCTCCTCTGTGCCTGGGTGAGCCTCCCGCTGTGGTGGGAGCTGAAGAGGCAGCATGGAGAGGCCATGGACACATGGGCATCTGCCTGCACTGCCCTAAGGCAGCCTGGTTGTCCCTTCAGCCCAGAGAGGCAGCTGCTGTCCCCAGGGCCAATTCCCATGGGTGTGCCAACAGCCAAGACCTCTTAAAGCTGCTGGATTGGACCTGACAATTTGGAGCTGAAAGGGTTCCAAGGCCTTTCCCAGGACTCTAGCATGGCTTCTCAAGAGGCATCACTTCAGGATCCAAGAGGTGTGTAAATGAAAAGGAACAGCCTCATTTCATTAAGAGGTTGAAGAACTGGCAGCTTTGGGCATGCTGTCAAGCTCAAAGATCTCTGCCAGCACCTAAATCCGATAAGTCATGTGTTTGGGCTGCTGGCAGTGTGCTGGGAAGCCAAGGGTGAGATAAGGGAGATATAACTGAGCTGGCACAAAGGAAACTCCTGCAGGGGGGAGACAAGGATCTTTCTGTTGCCACCCCAGCTGTCTGCACTTTCCCAGAGGGCACAGCAGCACAGACTTGCAGTTGGACTCAATGATCCTTGTGGGTCCCTTTCAACTCAGATATTCTGTGACTCTGTCAGACCATCCTCAACACGCAAAGGCCACAGGAAGACAGGTTTTTTCCTAAAAATGTATACTTTTCCCTCTTCCGAGAACAAGGGAGAGTTAAAAATTCACCTAACCCACTGCTTTCGAGGAAGCTGGAATAGGGCAGGCAATGCTGTAGGTTGCTGAGTATGGGGGTAAATTTCAGCTTACAAGAGAAATTTCAGTTTTCAAGAGAAACTTGGGGGATAGAGGGAGCATCTCCATGACAGATGAGCTCTGGTTAAAGGAGAACAAAACTGGGGTGCAAACCCTTGGAATGAAACCCTGGGAGGGGTTTTAAATAACGGCTAATGGGTGAGATGGGCGGGCAGTGCAACAGGGAATTATCCAGAGGTAAATCCTTCCCTGTAAGGGTGGTGAGGCCCTGGCACCTCACCCAAGGACTTGAGAGCTGGAAAATTCAAAGAACCGAAGGTGACCTCGAGATCTGCTCTGTCCTGCTCTCCAGAGGCTCTCCAGGAGCCAGAGCCCTCTGCAGCCCAAAATCCAGATTGGTTTTCAATGCTGGAGGTAGGAAAGAGAGAGCAAATTCCTGCTGAGACCAGGCAAAAGGTGCAGTGCTGCAGACACAATCCCCTATGGAGTGACTGCAGGCACCCACATTGCCCTGTTGATGCCAATTATCAGTTATGAAATGGAGAAATTTGTTAATTATTTCCCTTTTCACCTATTTATTATGGGTTTCTTTTTTATTGCTAATTATTACTTTCAATACCGCACTAAGTAGGATAGAAGTTTCTCTGATGCTGGCTTGGTGGCTCTTGAAATATATCTTAAAGAATTGCCTTTTCCCACTATTTTCTGTCTGCCTTTCCCTATCACTCTGTTTTCTGTTTTTCTTGTGTTTTTGGGGTCTGACTTTTTAAAGCACCCTGTATTTCTGTTTACTGCATGGATTCTTCTCTCCCCAAATTGAATGTAATCAGGTCGTGATCACTGTTCCCTAGGCAACCACCAATGAAATGATAGAGCAATGACCAAGAATTAACAGCTTAAGTTTAAAAAAATTAAAATGGTAATTGGAAGACTTCATAAATGTGCTGAACTAAGGCATTCCTGGCTGAGCCACTGGTTACTATGGAGGGCTTGGGGACAATGATCTTGGTTCAGGAATTAGGGGAAGCTAAACACCACCCACCAGCCTGTTAAGGTAAATTCAAGCAAATCTGGTAAAGGGCTGCTTATTTTCTGTCAAAATTCTGAGGGTATGCTTTGGTTAACAAAGGAATTGAGGGTGTACCTGGATAGGATATGGACAGAGCTGGAACTGAAGTGGTTGTGCAGGGGGCTGGCAGTGAGATGAGGCAATTCAATGTTCTGCTGCTGCCTGTAATGCCAGGGGAAATAACAGAGTGATTGTGGAGTGCAGTGTCCTGATGGCCATGGTGGGCAGGAATGGAAGAAACGCTCCAGCCTGCCCTGTCGTTCCTGACAGTGTCCAGGTGCTTCAAAAAAATCTCAGCAACCAGCCGCAGAAACCAATACAAGCGCATGCCAAGCTTCCCAGAGTCATTTGGCAGAGTTCTGGCTTTGCTGGGACTTTTTGTGTGCTTAGTGAATATCAGGAACACGTCCTGGCGTTTGGAGCAATTGAGAAAGGGCGACCAGCCCGTGGCAGACTGAGGTCTGTGCAGGACACCCTGAGATGCTTCTTCCAAGTCCTGCTGCCCCATGATGGGCTCAGTCAGCGGGTTCATACCCCAGGGGTTATTTCATGCTGCCTTCCACCACTGCTCCACCTTCCACCATTGGCACACAGAGCTCACTCCTACTTCACGCTAAGCTTTTGTGGGAGCAGCTGCTCCACTCAGCTCTTCGTGAAATGAGCAGTTGCCTTCCAGGTCTGCTTTGCTCCTGCTCGTGCCCAGTGGCTGGTGTTCCATGGCTCACTGGGATGGACTCTGAAAAACATCTTTACATGTGAGATGTTCTGTGGGACAAGAACCAGGTCCCTACTGCCCCCACCTCACCCGCTACCCCTTGCTGTGGGGGCTCAGGGGCCAGGCACCTTCTCCAGGCAAACCCTGGCCTCAGCCCACCTGATGGGAAAGGTTGAAGTCCACCTACACCTCTTTTATGGAAACGGTGCCTGCTTGAGGTGTAGGATGTACACAAGGGATGGGATACACAGGTGCATACACTGAATACACAGCCCTGTGCCACACATTAACTCCTGCACTCGTTAACCTGTGAGCGCCTGTTCCGCAGTCCCAGGGTCCTTTCTGAGCAGTTCTCTGGTGTCTTTTACGAAGTAATGTGAAAACACTCGGTCCCAGAAGCGCTGGGAGCACAGCCTGAGGGGATCCCGAGGCTCGCCGGCCCACCGGGGCGGCCTCACCACCCGTGTCCCTGCCCGGCCGGGCCACGGGAGCCCACGGGCTGCGGGATCGTCGTGAGCCCCGGTGCCCCCTCACATCCCCGGTATTCCCTCACAAGTGCGGTGTTCCCTCAGAAGCCCGCGTGTCCCCTCAGAAGTCCCCGTGTCCCCTCAGATCCCCGGTGTTCGCTCCCAGTCCCCGTATCCCTTCAGATGCCAATGTCCCCTGAGGCCCCCGATCGTCTACGGCAGCTCCGCTGTCCCGCCCGGCCGAGGCGCGGCCCGGCGGGCGCCTGCGCCGTGGCGGTGGTGGCGCGGCGGGCGGGCCCGGGCTGCTGCGGCGGGGCCATGTCGGGCAGGAGGGTGCGCGGGCGGCGCGGGACGGGGGCAGGGACACGGACACAGACACCGGACCGGCCACGGGCGGAGCTGTCCGGCGGCTCCCCTAGGTGCTGGGGGCGGCGGGAGCGGGGCGGTGGTAGCGGCGCGGCGGACGGGCTCTGACGCTGTCCGTGTCCCGCAGGCCCGACCGGTTCTGCCCTCAGTGCGGGCTCGCCGTGGAGCCCGCGTTCCGCTTCTGCCCGGCTTGCGGCGGGAGGCTGCCCGCGCCGCCCGAGGAGCACACCGAGCTCGCAGCGCGGGCCCCCAGCCCGCCGCCGGCCCCGAGCCCGCCGCCGGCCCCCAGCCCCGCCACCTCCCCCTCCCTACGGGCGGCCGCGGCCCGGCTGGGGCCCCGCTCGCCCCGCAAGCCCCGGCCCGGCCCGGCCGCGCCGCTCCCGGCGGACACGGTGCTGACGGACCAGGGCGGGCGGCAGTGGAGGCTGGTGCGGCTGCTGGAACAGGGCGGCTGCGGGCTGGTGTACGAAGGTACTGTGGGGCCCGCGGCGGGCAGAGGGAACCGGGGAGAGAGGGGCGGGGGTCCCCGGCTCTGGCTTCGGTGACAGCTGTCGGGACATCCCGAAACCCCCAGAGGCCGCGGAGTGGGTGACACTGCGGTGTCGCCGGGCTGGCGGTGACCCGCAGGCTTGCAGGATCCGTCATTCATACAATATTCTGAGCTGGAAGAGATCCACAAGTACTCGGGAGTCCAGCTCCTGGCCCTGCACAGACACCCCAACAATCCCACCCTGGGCATCCCTGGCAGCGCTGTCCAAACACTCCTGGAGCTCTGGCAGCCTCGGGGCTGTGCCCATTCCCTGGGGAGCCTGGGCAGTGCTCAGGAACCTTTTCCTGATATCCAGCCTAAACCTGCCCTGGCACAGCTCCAGCTGTTCCTCACTGGGCATCTGCTTGTCAGCCACTCTGCCACCAGCATAATACCAAGCAGAGGCCACGCTGCTCTGTTATTATGGAATGTCCGTTGGGGCCACACTTCCTCTTTCTGTTCTTTTAGGTCCAAAAACTATTTGCTGGCACGGTACAGGAGTTCTTGTGCTGTAGTTGGTGTCAGTACCCACTAAATGTCAATTCTCAGCGTGTTTTGGGGCCAAAGAAAGCAACCACACCACACAGGCTGCTTCTCAGCCATTTAGTAAATGCTGATCTTTTCAGTCTAGTTGTAAACTTCCAAAGGGGAGTTTTTGATCTTCTCTCATTAATTTGGAAACTGTTCAGGAGGAATTTTTTCCGTTACTGAGTTTGCCTGATTTGGTTTTACTTTCTTTTTTATTATTCAAGCTGTTGCATAACAAAGTATGAGCATCCATCTATGTTTAAAAAAAAATGTGATAAAAAGGAAAACCAATAGTGGAGAGTGCTTTCATAGATGTCAGTTTTAGGTGATGAGCAACAGGTGACCTGTGGATAGCACTTGCTCTAAGAGCATGAGAAGAGGAACTGCCCTGAGCCAAGTCATGGGTGCAAATCCTTTTGGAGAAGGGAAACCACATACAACATCCATACAGAGCAGAGGGACTTGGCGTCCCTTACAGATTTATCAAACCATGGAGTGAGCTGGAGGGAGTGCTCAGCAAATGAATTTGGGGATGCCTTTGAGATTCTACTAATGATCTATTCTTTACATACCCCTCAAAGCCCCCCCATACTGTAGCCCTGCCCAGATGCTTCTGTGACTTAAGCAGAACTGCACTGCATGTCAGGGTGCTGAGCTCCTGGAGCAAGGTAAGAATTATTTTGTAGTGATCTGGGAAGGCGCTGTCACAGAGGATGCTTTGCAAAGCTCAAGGGAAAGAAGCAGAGGATGAGTTAATCCAGCTGCACAGGCTGCCTTTAATGATGCACAACCTCTTTTCCATGCTCCTGTAACCACATCTGTTCCATCCTTCCACAGCGCAGTCAGCATCTGGAACCTCTCCTCAAAAGCAAAGCTACTCCCTCAAACTTGTGAGTTTTGATCTGTTTGGGTAAGGAATAGTGCATAGAGTACTGTGTCCTGACCTGTTTGGCTGAGAGTATATGAGGAATTGGGAGAGAGCTGTCAGAGAGGCCCCTGCTAACTTAGGAGATGGATCTAACCTCCTGAGGGTGTTGTGCTGGGATTTCAGTTGGCTTTTCTGCTAAAGGTATGAAGAAAATGGATATGAGAATTAAAAAACCCCCAAAGCCTTAATCATAGAAGGCTGCTGCTTTGATTGACCAGGCTCAGGAACCTGCAGAACCGAACTTGGTGGTATGAGGTAGAGATCTTGATTTGGGAATGTCAGACCAACTTTTCTCCTCTGTGGCAGGCGTGCACACACCCTGCTGAAGTCTGGGGAAACTGGAGAGGTTGGAATTTGGTGCTGTGCTGAGGCAGTGTGAGAGCCAGCATGGAGACACTATGTAAAGCCAGAGCGCACTTTGAATTCAAATAGGAATTATAGTTGGAGTTCCAAGCCAGCTTTCCAGGTGCTTGTCAATATCTTGGGTTCTCCAGAAATGTGTTATTTCCAGTAACGGCTGTTCTGTCGTGGAAATTCAGTCGATTGATGTTCAGTGGCTCACGAACCAGAGCTGAAAGACTGTGTTCTTGTCTACTGTGGCTCTTGGGGATTGCTGGTCTGTAGGAGGGCCAGTGCTGACTGATGGCTTTGTGGGGCTCTTGCATGCACTTGGGTAATCCCTCTGCCTTTGTCAGAGGAGACATGTAAGAGGATGGAGAAGGAATACAGTGTGGATGAGAAAAATCTGCTAAGTGCCACAAAACTAGAACCAGTTGGTGGGAAACTGTAATCACTTCTGTAGGCAACACTCCCAACTTCTCTGGTTTTCTTTTGGCTGCTTGGTGGTCTGCTCAGCACTGTGGAGTGTGATATGGCACATGAGAACATTTTGGCTTTGGGGTCTGATGACCCACATGGGCTCACAGGCAAGATGCAGAGTGAAATACCCTCTGGGACACAGTCTGTTGTCTGCAGCCTGGTGTTCCTCCAGCTATCTTTGATACCAGTTTTGTATCAAACCAGGTAGAATAACACTACTGCTTTCTCCCATGCAGGACAGCAACTGTCCTGAGTTAGTGTTGAATAGCTAGTGTGTGTAGGCAAACACAGACATTCTGAGTGGGAACTGTGTGCAGTTGAGGTCACTTGATGACAGCAATACCTCACATGTTACTAATACAGACTTTCCTGTCTCACTTTCTGACAGCTGGAATAAATGTTACAGCTCTCTGTAGAGACTTGTGTGTTTGTAGAAATGCCCTCATCCCTGCTGTGGCTAAGAAGGTCACCCTTGGCTCCCATTAACGTAACAGCTGTGGGACCAGAGCTGTCTTCATGGTGTGCCTGGGCTGCACTGCCTGACTATTGTTAACCCTCAGGCAGCTGTAAATGGGCTGCTGGAAAGTCCCAACCTGAGATGGCCCCTCTCCTATTCTGTGCTGATAGTCAGAGTTGATGTGGTTGTTAGGGGCAGCATTAAATAGGGAACCAGGACACCTGAGCTCTGCTCTCAGCTCTGTTAGTTGATCTTTGCTTTCTTTAAAGTGAGTAGTTAAGGTCTTATAGCAATCTTACCCAAGTTTCCCTTTCCAGCAGGATGTGTGTGGCTGAAGTAACGCTCCTCCCTGTTCCCTTTAGGATGCCAAAGATGGGAGGATCTACAATGAACAGAATTTCTTCCAGCGAGCTGCAAAAGCAGGCACAGGTTGGTGCTTCTTATGAGGGCAAGGACTGAGGATAACTGGCATTTCCCTCTCATCAGTTATGTGAATCTCTTGGAAGGCCAAGCTAGGATAAATTAATCCCCTGCTTGGTTAGTGCCAGAGTGCTGAGGAGTTCGGTCATTGCCAGTTCTCCCAGCAGTCTGTGTGCTGTAGGACAGTACAGTGTGAGCACAGCTTTCTTGTGCTCCTCACTGTGTCTGGGAGCTGTCCAGCCCTGCAGCCTGTCTCACCTTGGCTCACTCTCCTGTCCCTCTTCCATGGATGGTTCTATCAGCAGCTCTCTGGTATCAACTCCATTGATCTCACAACTTGAGCAAGAACAAAGCTGCCCAGAGAATGTAGGCAGGAGGGATGGAAGAATTTATGTCAAATCTACACTTCTGGGAGAAGTGTAAAAATCCCTCACCCTCTCTCTCTCTCCCCTCTACTTGTTTTACCCAGCCCTGTAGAAATCCCATGCCATAGCCTGCTCTGATATTCCCAGAGTCTTCCCTGCTCCATTCTTGCTCTACAGTGCTATATTCATTGACATGCCAATGCACACATCAGACTGGAATTTTGGGGACAGAGTCAGGATGAGAGGCCACTGTCAGCTCTCCAGGGCAGAGCAGACCTTCAGAGGAGGAGCATCCCTAACTCCTTCCTCCTGGAGCTCCTCAGCAGCCTCTGCTGCACTGTCCTCTTCTCTTGTAGTGCAGAAGTGGAAGAAGTGGCATTCCGTGCCGCTGCTGGGCATCCCCAACTGTGTTGGCTTTGGACTGCATGCAGACAGCTACAGGTGAGGTGACTGAGCTCTTGGGCTGTCTGAGCATCTCTGGCTTTCCCTCTCCTCTGCCTGCTGTCCACTAGTCCTTTTGTCTTTGCTCCCTGGGCTCCTGACCTTATGCACTGCTCCTATCATGTCTTAAATGGTTTGCCTCTCATTACTTTGTTTCCTTCAGTCCTTATGTTGCTGGTGAAGTTACTGCTTTTGCTGCTGCTGCCCTTCAGGCTGGGGACACCTTATTTTGGTCCTTGACACAACACAGAGGGGAGGGAGATTCAGGCTGTGTGTCTGCAACACATGATGAGCACACCTGTCTCCTTTATAAGAAGTTTTCTCTCATCAAAAATCAAGGAAGTGTTTGCCCAGGTCAGCTTGGAGTTGAAGTGGGGTCCAGTGGATCACTTGGCAAGTGTCTGTTTCAGGGTCTCCAAACCAGGTAGGTACTGCCATGTGCAAAGCCCTTTTCTCCTGCAGGTTTTTGGTGTTCTCTGATTTGGGGCGATCTCTTCAGTCTGTCCTGAGCGATGGCCTGCACCTGCTGAGGGAGAAGGCAGCTTTTCAGATTGCAATTCGTGTGGTATGTGGAGAACCAATCCTTCCCAAGGGACTTTTTCAGAAAAGACTTCTAACTTCCTTCTGGATCTCCCAGAAGTGTTTTAAAGCTGCTCCAGGGGCTTGGGTGGGGTCTCCAAACTTGCTGTAAACTTCAGTAGCATCTTTTGAGCACTGTGTCACTTTGAAGGAATTTGGGATAAGAAGAATGAGAAAAACTTGACCTTTGAACTTGAAGGCTGTGAGATAGTGTGTTTTTAGTGCTCATCCACATGGCTGCAGGGAGCTGGGGAAGGTCCAGCTCAGTGATAGCCAGGGTGCTGCAGGAGCCTGCATGGATCTGATATGCTCCCCCTGTTTATTCCCAGCTAGACTGCCTGGAGTACATTCATGAGAATGAGTATGTGCATGGGGACATCACTGCTGAGAACATCTATTTGAACCCAGCAGACCTCACACAGGTAGGGAGCAGGAGCAGTGCTGCCAGGGAAGGGCACTGAAGGTGGGATTGTGACTTGGGATAAGGCAGCCTCCAGGTCCCTGCCTTAGGCAGGGCAGCAGAGCAGGCTGGACAGTGCTCAAGCAGGAGCTGTGGGGCAGCCCTGGGGGCTGCTCTGCACTCAGGTGGGTGCTGTGTGCTGCCCTGCAGGTGACCCTCGCTGGCTACGGCTTCGCGTTCCGCTACTGCCCCGGGGGAAAGCACGTGGCTCGGCGCGAGGGCAGCAGAACCCCTCACGAGGGCACCGTGGAATTCATCAGCCTGGACAGCCACAAGGGCACAGGTTTGTGGGTTTGACACATGATGGGGCTGCTCCTGTGGTGGTGCTCCCTGGAGCTCAGGCTCTGTGCTGGCATTGCTGGCACTGCTGCTTTCCAGGCATTCACATGCACTAGGAACCAGGTTCCTCTTTGGGCTGTTCACTCCTGCCTCCTGATGGCTGCTGTGTTGGGACTTGCCAGGTCATTCAGTGATTGCAGCAGGGATGTTCCTGCTCCATCTGGAGCCTTGGCTGCTGCAGGCGTGTGGGGAATAGAAAACAGAGCCCTTCGTGCTGGCTTAGCAGGGATCTGTTTCAAGCCAGACTGGATCCCTGCCCAAAACAGACTTGCAGCAGGCTCTGCTCTGACCTTGAAGCAATGAGAGCTGGAAAGGCATAGAATCATAGAAGCACTTTTGTTGGAAAAGACCTTTAAGATCATTGAGTCCAGCTGTAAACCCAGCACTGCCAAGGTCACCACTAACCCAAGTTTCCAAGTGCCACATCTACATGGCTTCTAAATCCCTCCAGGGATGGAGACTCCACACTATCCTGGGCAGCCTGTATCAAATTCTGTCCTTCTCCTGGTTGGGATGTGACTGCTCTTTCACAGTGTTCAGGAAATCTTCCTTGAGATGCTGGGAGGTGATTCCTGAACTATGTTAGCAAGCTCCCAGGAGTATTGATACCCCAGAGCACACCCTCATGAAGCTCCTGAATTTCTTTACTTCTGCCCCTTCATGAGTGACGTGTGAATGTCTCGTGTTTCCCATCAGGACCATCTCGACGGAGTGACTTGGAATCTCTGGGCTACTGTCTTCTGAAATGGCTCTGTGGCATTTTGCCTTGGTCTGATGAGCTGGACAAAATAAAAGCTGTGGTGGAACAGAAAGAAAGGTAGGAGAAATCATCTATTCTTCTGGGAAATGCTCAGCAGAAAGCAGTGATGGGGGTTTGTGACTGAAATCCTCAGGTCACAATACACTGTTGGGATGTGGTAAATCCCACAGCCAAGTCTAAGCCTGGTCACAGGGTGTTTGGTGAACCCCAAGGTCTGCTTCATCCAGAACACAGCCAGCTGAATTCAGACTTTTGGGGATTTTTTTTTTGTCCCTGTTGTCACAGCCAGGTGCTCAGGTGCCTGGCTCCATTGCTTCTCCTTCTGACAGGATTCTGTGCTGACTATTCCAGGTACAGAAAGGATGTGAGATGCCTTCTCCAACTATGCTTCAGGCAGAGATCCATTCCAGGTATGGGCTTGCTCTCAGTGGCAATGAGACTCAGGGATGGAGGATTGATTGTACTTGAAGCCAGAACTTCCTCTGTGCTGGAGTGCTGGTCCAGAATGGCTTCCAGTGGTGATGTTGACCAAGCATTGCATGAACTGCCTGGCAGGCTGGGAACAAATCCCTTGTTTTCTGTACAGAAGAATGAGGGCTGCTTTCCATGATCTGCCTTCATGAACCTTGCTGAAGAGTCAGCTGTGCTGGTGGGTTTAGAAATGAAATATCTGGGGCTAGAAGACACTTCCCATCCCATTTTGTTGCCCAGAGAAGCTGTGGCTGTCCCATGCCTGAAAAGTGTTCAGGGGGTGGAAGAAGATGGGCTTCAAGGTCCCTTCCAACCCAAACCACTTGGTGATTCTATTTTATTGTATAATTCAGTCATTCTTTGAGCTTTGTATTAGCCTTGGTTTTCCTCTCTGCAGCTGCCTGGGGCGGGGTGGGTGAGCTGGCTGCAGGACAAGCAGCCTGAAATGGCCATTTGGCAGCTGGAGTTTGTGTGCTGCTCCAATACGAGTCCCTTTCCTTGCAGATGCCCTGGAGAACTACCTGGAGCAGGTGATGGCACTGGAGTATGAGGAGAAGCCTGACTACACAGCCCTGCGGCAGCTCTTTGGGAAGCCACTGGAAAAGATGAAAGCTTCAGCTTACGACTCCGTGGATGTCCGAGTGGTGCCCTGAGGTGAGTGCTGGCACCTCCTGTGTGTGCTCTGTGCTGCCACAGGCAGGTGAGGACAGAGCAGGCTGGGCTGTGACATCTCAGCAGCTGAAACCAACCTGCTCCTCCTGACATGTCACTGCCTATTGAAACCAGTCCAGTGCTACACAAAGCCAGGCTTAGCCTGTGTTTCCTCAAGTTTTTCTGGAGATACTTGTCTATGAAGGGATACGAGGGTTAATAAAGCAAATGCTGAATGGGCTGTGGGGTTGCAGACTCAAGCCATCTGGTAATTTTATCTTTTTTTAAGTCTGAAGTGCTAGCTTGTAGTTTTTGCTTTTCTCTCTCAGAAAGCAGCCTGTAGTTCTGGTTTTAGTGCCCAGGTGCTATTTTAGTCATGAGGCACCTCAAAGAGTGAGGCTTCATACAGAGCCAGATCTCATTTTAGTGCAGGGCTGCATCAGCCAAGGCTCTGCATCCAGCAACAGCAGCACAAAGTCAGCTCTTCAGCTAATTTCCTCCTCCTGGGAAGGAATTAAACTAATTCATCTTCCCCTTTTCTGCTTTTTTTTTCAGATCAAGGAAGAGTTCAGAGCTTTCTGCAGTGAGGCCTTTCCCAGATATATTTTCACTTTTACCAGTTTTAGAATGACAGGTTTTTATAAGAGTTTTCTTCCCACGTTAATGTGACCCAGTGCTGAAGTTTGAGCTGCTGCTGTACCAAATTAATGTGAAAAGACTCCTGCATGGGAGATCAGGGGAAGCAGTAGCTGGAGAACTGGAGTGGAGCCACTGTGAGCCAGGAAAACTAAATCAGGGATTTTCTCTTTTGAATGAGAGTGGCAGTACATGGTTTTGTAATAAACTTTGTGGACAAGTACCCAAGGCTGCTGTTCTTTATTTGGCAGATTCAAGGCCTTTCTGGAGCTGCTGTAGGGTTGTGAGGGTGATTTGAGCCCTGAGCTCCTTGTGAGATTTGTGTAAATAGCCTTCAGGCAGCGCCACTGCAACCTAACCATCAGAAAACTCAGCTCAGAGCTAAACCCTGACCTCATCCCAGCAGTTCTCCAGGCCTCAGGCCAGGGAATGAGGGAAAGGAAAACCAGGATCCATCTCTACTAACAAAACAATTTTATAAAAAAAACAGTCAATAAACACTCACTACACTGTGTGTAGCTGAACAGTTGCCAATGCCACAATAAATTCTAAACAGTCCTGGAGTCCAGTTCCAGTGTTAGCTTCAGTGACATCTTTTTGAAGTGTTGTACCTTGGTATTCCAATTCCTATGTGTTAAGGCACAGAAGGATTTTTCAGGTAAGGAAAACATGGCAACAAGAGAAGAGACAAATGGAGTTTAAACCATGTGAGAGGTAGGTGAGAGAGCAGCTCAGACCTGCAGTGAGCCTTCATTTACCTCTGGGGTTTTTAATAAAAACCTTGTGTCAGTGCAGCAAATGCCATAGACAAGAAGAGGGGAGCTGAGAGAGACCTGGACAGAGTAAAAAGGCAGCACAACCTCAAAATAGGTCTTTCAAGTGGAAGATTCAAGCATAGTGTTACATTCAGAAACTTGAGAACCAATGTAAATTCATTTCATTCATAGTGCCAGGCCTCAGAGAAAGCAAGGGACAGGACAGTTCTATTTTCACTAATAGGGATGATAAAACTGGGCTATGAATTTCACAGAGAGAGCAGAACCTTAGCAGAGAATCAGTCAATAGGGGATACATAAAAAGGCAGCTGTGAATGGAGGAAATAGCCCAGCTGTACAAGATAAACAAGGTTCAAGAGAAGGTATTTTGGAGGTATTTACAATTATTCACTATCATCCCTGTATGACTGCAACAGAAATACAGTTTCTAGAAATCCTGGTAAAGTTAAAAGCATTAAGAAATCAGAGGCTTAAGAAGGCCAAGTTCAGCCTTTCTTCAGTGTGTTCTGCCATGTTTTTTCTTTTGACTTGCCTCCTGTGCAGGTAATGGGGCTGGCAGGGCTCCCCGTTCACGGAATTGCCGTGGGGCAGTGCTGAGGTAGGTTTGGGAGGAGCTCCAGGGCTGCCTTCAACAGAAGATGTAGGACTGGCAGTGTTGACAGAAGAGTAGCCTGAGCTCCCCTCTGGGTTGGGATTCCTTGGGGTGAGATATGCCCCTGGCAGCTCCCCCTCCCTGTGGAGTGCCCCAGAGCCATCCCACTCCCCAGGCAGACTGTCCTCATCACTGGAGTCCTGGCCACAGTGCTCCGCAGGGTCCAGGTACAGCACCGTCACATCCAGGATCCCACTGGGGCTGGTCACTGCAGGATGGGAAAAGAGAAACCTTAGTTTGTCCCCATCCAGAACCAAGCAGGCACTCAGCACAGAGTAAAATAGTAAAAAGCCAAGCAAGAGTCAGCCTTCTGTCTGCTTACACCTGGAAGGCAGGGCACTGAGTTCACCCTCTATTCACACAGCATCTTTTCTTCCCTCAGACTATTTGAACAGGTACTAAGAGCTGTTAGCAAATGAGCAGCCACGCCCAGGGTCAGCAAAACCCAACAGCTAATAAGTGTTTCTAAGACAGTGGCTTATTCATCACATTTGGTGCACTGAAAACAGCCTGACTTTCAATCACTGAGCAAACACAAAACCCCTCATCATGTTCTGAAGCAGTGCAGAGAAAGAACAGATAGATACCTCTGAGAGAGTTTAACAATTATAACCACAGGGGGAGGGGAAGAGTTTTTCCACCTGGTCTTCAGCTGAAAGTTTAGGCATCTGGTGCCTGAGAAACAGTTTTAAGCAAAAATGAAAATAGAGGTTTAATCTTCTTGGCTGCTTTTTATAAGAATAAACTGCTCACCATCTCCCTCTCGCTCGCCTTCGCTTTCCTGATCACCTTCATAACCAGAGCAGGAATCTAAACTCCAGTCAAGGAAGTTGTCCAGCAGACTTTCTTCCTGGGAGGACAACTCTGCTGTGGGTGTAGTCACAAAGCTGCCTCTGTCATCCTGAATGCTGTCTTCCCTCCTCCTGTAGCAAAACACCCCCAGAAATCACATGTTAAAAACCAAGTCTTTTCCAGCTCTTTTAGTAGGTGTGTCAGGTGGTGACAGGAAAATGGATTGTATTTAGGAGTGAAAACTTGGGGTACCAGAGAGGAGGAAAGGCTCTGGCTGATCTTCAGAGCTGCTGACAGCCATGAGTTATACTCACCTTTTAGCTCTCTTTCCAGAGGGAGAGCTGAGGAAAGTCTGAATTTCCACTACGTTCCTGTGCAAGGGACTCGGCTCTGGGTCCTTCTGTTTCACACCCAACAATGAGCAGAGCTGGCTGTAACTCATAACCTAAAATATTAAATAAATAAATAAATGAATGAATAGGTTTAAAAAAATCAAAGCACCTGTAAGAATTAGACCATGAGATTCTTATGAGAACTAAATAGCCAGTGGGACACTACTTTCTAGGAGAAATCTGTCCCAGTGAGTTCTTCCCACAGGCACTCAAACATCAGTTAAGAGTCCCTGCAATTCAATTTTTAAACTCTCACTTTATTCACACAGCCTGCCATGGGACAGCAGCTCTGCTCTGGGTGTCAGCCAGCAGCAGATGCAGCCACAGCTCACCCACCTGTTCTTTGCCGATTTCCTCATAGCGCTCATCTTCAAAACGCTGTTTTACTGCCATGAGGGACACCTGCCTGTAATCCTTTGGGACATCATCATGGAAGCTGGAAAGAAAGATTGATTCTATGAAACAGTATTAAGAAAACCTGCCAAGTCAGGTAATTTTCCCCTGTTGCTCAGCGCTGTGCTAAGGAAGCTGGTGTTTCAGCGACTTCACTGGGACACCTGGTGGCTTCTAAGCACGTGAGCATCTAATTCTTTTTCTGTCCCTGTTTTCTGTGACCCAGGGCCAGACCAGCTGGCAGAAACAACAGTTGTCCTTGAACTGGACCTTAGTGCCTTGTGGCAGGAGAGCAAGGCAGCTAACCAAAGGCCCTTACTTCACTGGGAAGGGCTGCAATCTAAGTACTCATGTGTCCCCTCAAAGAGTCCCAAAACCATTACCACTTTTGGTGGAGGATCAGCACACAGGGCAAGAGGTCTTCTTGAGAGAAACCAGTGCACTCAGACAGCTGGCTGGTCCAGGGGTGTGCTGGAGAAGAGAGTACATATTAATATATTGAATTACATATTCATGAAGTGTAGTAGTTCTGTAGTGAGTCAGCTTTTTTTTTTTTTTTTTTTTTTAAATAAGATAAGGATCATGATATTTGCAAGCTTATATGTGTCCACAGTTCGTTCAAGTTCACAGCTGGCTTTAAGGATAGGTTTATCTACCAAACTAATGTTAAGCCTAACAGTAGAAATCTTCAGTCTCATTTAAATCCAAAGCTTGCATAGTCTGATGCTAATGCTCTAGTTCATCACTGCTATTAAGAGGTAAAATAGAATCACAGAATCATGGAATGGTTTTGGGTTGGAAGGGACTTCAAAGCCCATTTCATCCCACACCCTGCCTTGGACAGGGACACTGTCCACTATCCCAGCTTGCTCCAAACCTTATCCAACCTGGCTGTGGACACCTTCAGGGATCCAGAGGCAACCACAGCTTCTCTGGGCACCCTGTGCCAGGGCCTGCCCACTCTCACAAGAAAAAAATTCCATCCCAATATCCCATCTAACCCTGTCCTCTGGCAGTGGGAAGCCATTTCCTGTCTCTCTAGGCCCTGGTAAATAAACTCTGTCCATGTCCCTTGTCAGCTCCATTCAGGTACTGGAAGGCCACAGTTAGGTCACCCTGAAGCTTTTCTTCTCCAGGCTGAACAATCCCAATTCTCCCAGCCTCTCCTCATCTGGGTTGTCGAATACAACCAAATAGACTGAACTCAGCTCTTCATTCTGACTTCTTATACCTGTCCCCCTCTTCTCCACCCTTCTCTCCACCTCCCCCAGCCAAGTGATTGGGACATCTTGCCTAAAGACAAACTAGCACCCAAAAACCCCCAAAAAGTCTCCCTAGAAAGAGAAGGCAGACTAGCAGTCTGTGCTTGAGGTAAGATGGGTTACCTTGCCCATGCAGGATCTTGGCCAGCAGCAGTGCAGCAGCAGCCAGCCGGGCTGGGGAATACATGCTGAGGCTCGTGTTCAGGAGGGACAGCTCACAGATGAAGCTGTAAAGGTGAAGAGTTCTTCTCTCCAGCGAGACAATGCTTGACAGAACTTCTTTGTAGTCCAAAATGGTGGGTATCTAATGCAGAAAGGAGAACAGAGGTTGGAAATACAAGACCAGCACAAAGTGTTTAGAACAGCTGTTTCCAGGTGCTGGGTTTTATTTGTCTGGGGCTTTTTTGTTTAATTACTACACTGACATTGATGCATTCTCCAGTGATAGAATAAATGGCCTCTTAAAACTGAAGTTTTAATCTCAACAGAAGGCAGAGGGTTCTGTATCTGCATGCTCTGAGACATGCACAGGCTCCACAGTTGATTGAGAACACTGACCTAAACCCCCAACTCATTAGATAGGAACTGCTACAGCCTGACTTGAGCAGCAGCCCAAGGGGGGGAATATTCCATCCACTTTCCAAACTCACCCTTATCTTTCCTTCTAAGGCAGAAATGATCTCGCCCATCATTCTGACCAACTCTTCATATTTGTAGGAGTTGTCTGTCAGCCACACAGCTTCCCGAATCGTCAGCATCTCTTTGCTGATGAAACTGTAATGTTAAATAAGTTAGCCCCAGCAGAAAGGGAATTTGTGCACTTAGAGCAGATAACTGCACCCACAGTGACCAGAGTCAAACAACTTCCCAAGGTATTTCCCAGGTAGACCAGCAAAGAAAGAATTGCAGCTGTTTATTTCACCTGGAAGATGGAACCACCTACTACAACATTCCTA